AGTGCAGACACGAACCAGCCCGACCCGCCGCCATGTAAGCCCTGCCCACCAATGCAGATGTCTCTCTGCAGGGCTTACTAGGCAACACCGGGGTCTTTAGGGAAGACGCCGATTCGGGAGAGAGATAGCTCGCTAAAGCCTCCTCCACCTTCGGCATCTTCCCATATCCCATATCTCGAGCCCCCATAACATTGCTGTAATCTATTACATTGGGACTCGAAATACGGGACGAATGCGGTCTTTCCCACGTTCTCGAGATCTCTTTATGGAGATCAGGGAAAAACGGCAGACCCCGGCGGTGAGGCTGTGACCTGCGCTGCAGGTAACGCTCGTCCATTTTACTGGTGACTTGCGTTTCCTGCTCATGTTGTGGCCAGCTGATGTTTAGTCTGGCCACAGCGCGTGTCACAACCTCCACCAGCTCCTCATAACCCAGGCCGCGTGATGGCGTGCTGAGATCACGGTCGTCCGCATCGATGCTGAGCACGTCCCCTTCCTCAGAAGTAGACAGCTCAAGCACCGGGACCTGATCGCGGGTAGGAGAAACCGCAGCGCGGGCTCCCACACCACTCTCAGAGGCTGCGGGACCAGCCGATGGCGAGCGAGAAAATGCCTCAGCATTCTCACTCTCCTCCGCCAGATCCCGCTGCGAACCCCAGGATCTCAGTCGCCGCATCGCCTCGACATATGCGGGACCGGAACCCTGGGGAACGCGAGCCTGACCGTGCTCGTCAAAGCACGCCAGCCGGGAGCGCAGCACTCTAATAGGCAAAGCCTCACACATTTCACAAGCAGCCCCTCGAGAGCTGCCCGTGCGTGCTGCACTCCCAAACAATACACACATAGAGAGTGTGCGTCCCCACCCGTGATGAAACGAGGGCAGGGATGCACACACCTCTTGAATTGTTCACTGGCCATACTTTCTTTCAATAATAAGACAAACAACACCAAATAAGACAGACAGTTTCAACATAAAGCGCTTGCTGAAGAGCGAAAGCTAGTGTGTGTTGTGACAGCGTCACTTTTATACTTCCGGGTATGCCGTCACATGTTACGTCACGACGCAACACCAATCAGGATTGGATTAGTTTCATTCATACTTCAGAGGCGCACGCTTAGGGAGCGTCCCCAAAGAGTCGATTTTATCGACGCAGTGTTGAGTTCCCTCGATAGGGAACTGATGGATTATGCCTATTCTTGTATTAACTCAAGCTAGAATATCTCTATAACAATCTGTGGTACACGCTAAAATAATTAAGAATATTCAATGAAAACAAAATAAACAGTGATTTTACAGGAAAATAATAGTAATCCTCCTGTTTTTTTTTTCTGTGATTCACAGAAAATTCCTGTTGAAAAACACTACGGGGAGTGCACTGTAAAAAAAACATTAACAGGAATAAACTGTTAAAATAACAGGAGGGTAATGGTAAATTAAACCGCATATACAGTAATAGTAATCATCACTGTGAAGCTGCTTTGATACAATCTGTATTGTGAAAAGCACTATATAAATAAATGTGACTTGACTTGACTTAATCTGATCAGATTCCATGTCCTTCCTAGCAAGTATTCAGAGTGGAAATCTATATAAGCAAGATCTTTTAGATGAAAACAATCAATTAATTTTAGATTAACATAACAACAAATTGTCCAGTGTACCTGGGTTCCAGTGCATGTGGGTATTTGAAATGAAAAGATGGATACATTAGCAAAAGAAGCCCTGAAGGCAGAGAATATACATATACAAATATAGCAAATTAGAAAATTAAAGTTTTCATTAAATATACTATAAATAAAATGTGTCAGGATACATGGATCAGGAAGAGAAATGAAGACATTTATAAAGCATCCAGAAAGAAGTGATGGTTAAAAAACAGAATAAGAAGACAGGAGGACACTATGCTTACAAGGTTGAGAATAGGGCACACAAGATTAATAAACTGCTTGAAGTTAATAGGAAAACACCGGACTGGATTATGCATTCATTGTGGAGAAATGGGAAATGTACAACATATACTCTTGACGAGTAGAAAGTACTCTGAACAAAGAAAAGAACTAGAGAAGGCAACCGAAAGTAAAAAAAAAACCTATTGAGTTTGCCTGGCACATAATCTATAATTAATTGACATGAAAGGGTTATACATCAATCATACACACACATTTATACATATATATGTGTATGCATATGTATGCGTGTGTATATATATATATATATTAGGGGTGTAACGGTACACAAAAATCACGGTTCGGTACGTACCTCGGTTTTAAAGTCACGGTTCGGTACGTTTTCGATACAGCAAAAAGAAAGAAATGCCAGAGAAATTTCCTATTTTTTAAAGAAAATATATATTTTTAAATAAGTGAGTTTTCCTAGATCTTGAAACTTTCAGGTTTATAAATGGGGGTCATCTTTGAAGGATGAACAAATAATGTTTTGGTCATCACATTAAAAATAACATTTAAATATATATTTATTTATATAATATTTGAATTTTGAAGTGCTGGAAAAAGATGTGTGAAGTACTTGAAAGCATTTCACCATTCCAGCCAAACTGGTTCCAGTTAGTGTTCCTATATTAAATCCATGGTGAATGTTGCTGGTCTGTGGACGTAAAGTACTAGTTCATTCACGGGTCAATGTTTCTCCTGGTTTCCATGACAGCGCTATTTGATCTAATAGAGATCTACGGTTAATAACGGAGAAATGTGAATGCTTCTCACTAGATCTCGCAGCGATGTTATTACCTCAGTGGCGAATTCAAATGTTTTCTTTACCGGATCTCTTAGCGCGGTGTGGTAACAGTGTTGCTTGATGGAGATCGGCTCGTGCTGCACAGATGTTGCTGGTCCGAACCGATGAACGATCCGTGAAGCACATAACGAGGAGCGCAGTTTCGTTCTGCTTTCATTACGCTTGCCATTTGATGTTGCGTTGGCCGCGTCAGCACGAATTTTGCCGGCAGGAAAAATGGTCCAAGCAATCGTTCGGTTTGTATGCGTACCGAACCGGAAGCCTCGAACCGAAACGGTTCAATACGAATACATGTACCGTTACACCCCTAATATATATATATATATATATATATATATATATATATACATACTATATATGTATGTATATTGAGTGTGTATATATATATATATATATATATATATTCATACATTCACACATTACTTCTCTGCCTTTGAAATCATATAATTGATTTTTTGTTGCACCACTGCATCAATGGGAAGAGAATAATAATAATATAAATTAAGTTCCAAGTGACCAAACAAAGGGAACATTAATCACCATAATAGTGACTAAAAATATTTTAGGAAAATCAACAAGTCAGCTTCTGTGATGTTCTCTTAAAATTGACAATTCAACATTAAAGATGACTTTGGGAAATAAGTGAATGCAAATAGAGAGAAATAACTGCATAAGTGGAGGAAATTAGTGAAAAGTCCATTAAGATTTTTCCCGCCACAAAAAACAGAACGGTGCTGTGCCGTCTATATTGGATCCGACAGGAAATGTGCAAGACAAGGACTCTGGGTCGAACATGTATGGGCGAATCATTCCGGTTGCCATTTTACAACATTGGACGTTTTCAAAACAATTTCCCCCAAGTGCATCGACGGTAAGTTGAAACTCATTATAATATGCAAAACTGTTATCCACTCACAGCAGTGGGCGTTTACTTCCAAGTCTTCAGTGCGAGACGCCCATTAAAACCGAGCGTTTTTCAGCTAGGCTCAAAACTAGGGTACAAAATACTTAGCCTTTTACTTATTCATTTTGATGTTTTTGAATGCAAAAACCAAGCGAACATCATAAATTGACCTCAGACAACAATATAATACAATTTTATACACAAAAGCAATAATAAAATCTGCTCTAAACAAGATGTGGAAAAAGAAATGGGAACAGGAGATAAAAGGTAGGTATTTGTATTAAATTCAAAACAAAGTTGGGGTTGAGAGAAAGAAATAAGGAAGCAGAAAGGAAGAATATATCTAGGCTTTGAATGGGACATACAACATTAATTACTCACTGTTTATCATAGGGAAAAGAGAATCGGGGAATTGTGATAAATGTGGATTGTCAGAAACAGTTGAACATGTGTTGATTCAGTCTCAGAATACAAAATCGAAAGAAGCTAGTTTATAGAAACAGCTATGTAGGCATTAATACAATGTTAATAAATAGCATATTTCAAAACACACAGAAAGAGAAAAGGATTTATAGTGCTTTAATCAGGTATCTAAGGGAAACAGGACTGGGTGACAGGATATAGATGTTATTATTATATATATGTATGTATGTATATATATATATATATATATATATATATATATATATATATATGAAGAGTTCAGATGCAAAAGCCTCTAAATGTCATTTGAAATTTTCTTCTTTAATGATGATTTTTATCAAACTTGTATATTTAAGTTCAGTAATTTCACTTAAATGGCAATGATAATTACATTAATTGTTATTTAAGTGAAATTAATGAAATAAAAAATACAAGTTTGATAAAAATCATCATTAAAGAAGAAAATTTCAAATGGCATTTAGAGGCTTTTGCATCTGAACTCTTCATATATATATATATATATATATATATATATATATATATAGACCATTTCACAAGATGTAAACAACACTGGTCCAGAAGCACTTCCTGTTTCAGTTTTTCAACACTACATAAAAGCTGGGATAAAATACAAACAACAGAACATTTAAAACTGAATCAAAAAGTTAAACAAACATCTTTAAGATGTTTTCTTTACATGTGAAATAAAGAAAACAGTTACAAACTGAAACAGGAAGTGTTTCTGGACCAGTGTTGTTTACATCTTGTGAAATGTCTATTTATATATATATATATATATATATATATATATAATTTGCTTAACTCTGTTGACGCTTCACACTCCTTTCCACTTGGTGGCGGTAAATGTAAGTTTTAGCTTGTTTGCCAACCGCCATATACTCCTAAAGAAGAAGAAGATCCTCTTTGGGATGTTTTGTGTTGCTCTGGTGAACATCTGAGCGTTTCTTCCTGTGGTTTTGTCTTCCTCTGGATTACTCTTGGAATGTTTATTGTCTTCGTGATGTAAGTTTGCTGCCTGACTTCATGCCTGTTTATGGATTACGAGTTCTCTCTACTGTTGTGTTTGCTGGTGGTGATCGACCCTGATTATACGAGCCAAAATTACAATAAAGCTGCAAAATGAATCTTTACTTTGCTGAAGCCTCGTTACAAATTAAGTTTTGAGTTTATAGAAGTGCCATAAAACTGGAATAAGGTTATGCGTTTACAAAAAAAAAATCTCCACATATAATTTTGGTGGATTAAGTCTGTGGACATTTCCTTTAAATGGGTTTAGCTTTCATTTTGATGTTAAAAAATCTGAAAGGCAAAAAATCTTGTTTTAGCCATATGTATTATGACCTAATTTCAGACCTGTGTATTATGTTAATTGCATTTATTGTTAGTGAGGATGGTAATAATGTGTATTTTCTAATGCATCCTTCAGGCTGAAAGACAGTGAATCTGAACGTGTGTGTGTGTGTGTGTCTGTGTGTATTGTCTCTAGGGCTGTACGATATTAGGAAAAAGTTACTTTGTGATTTTGTAAAGAAGTAAATCTGCATAGAATGTAATAAACAAATTACAAGCAGAGATAAATTTATACAACAGAACTGTATTCAGACATTGCATAATCAAATGTAAAATAACACTGCAAATAGTCTGCACTGTATAAATTAAATATAATTATTTAATTAAAAGTTAATGCAGCAAAGTGTTAGTTCAGTATTACACACCATAAAGTGCACATCACACAAAAAATATTTTTGGCGAAATTGGCGTTTAAATCGCACGAGAATTGAAATTCGTGGTATAGATACTAACTTTCATGAGTTCGGGCTCCAATATTTTAACATTTATACTAGAGGTCGACCGATAGTGGATTTTACTGATATTTTGGTTTGACCGTACATGGCGATAACAGGTTATTCAATCAATATTTTTTTAATGGATACTGGACTTGTATTAAAAACAAATAAAACTCTAAGTAAAACTGAGCTGAAATGTTCTAAATGAAATAAATACATGAATGAGAAGTTCTACAGAACGAATTCTACAGAAAATAATTTAAACATTAAAGTATTAGGCTACAGGTTAAATGTGTGTCTCTTTAGCTATAACCTAGAAACATAGCCCTTTCATAGGTAACACTTTTAAAGTGCCATTTGTTATTAAGGATGTAGCCTAATGGCTAGCTTTCATGAACTATATGCTTTATGCAATATGTTTTTTACTGCATGTAATAATATTTGAGCAGTACTATTGTACGTTGATCATTCATATTAGTTCATAGTACATTAACTAAGGTAATAAAAGATCAAATACAAATTTAACCCCCTTAAACCCGAACCGTCCCACGGGTGGGACTCCACCCCATAAAAAAAATTCATGATCAAATTACTAAGCAACCACTGAACGTAATAACACAAAATATGTATCATTTTAAAGCTTAGAATCTCAACTTTTTAATGCATCTAAACACTAATAACAACTCCAAAGGAGTGCCGAGTAATTCCTCTAAAACGGAGTGTAGCTGCGATAAAACATAATAATAATTTTTTCAAAAATATGACCTTGATCTACTTAAAATAGGCCTCATTTGAAAGCTTAGAGTCTGAATTTTACAATGAATGTAGCCAATTTGATAAACTCCTAAGTAGTGCCGAGTTATTTGCTGATAAATATAAAAAAATGTTTTAATAATTTATTAATTAATTTTTTGTACTACATACTGGTGGTTTAGACTTGGCATTTTTACTCATATCTTCATGAAACATACATCAATCATGAAATATTGCTCATCGTTATTTACAGCAGAAGCTCACGATTATTAAAAAGAACCCAAACTCAATGAATTCCATGAATCAGATATAAAGATATTCACCGTGGCGTCCTAACACCAAAAATAACACAGATGTTCCTGGCCAAGTATATACTGATGAAGCACTCGCGTTGGTATTTTGCTTATAACTACGTGAAAAATGAACAGATCGTAGAATATTGCACAACATTATTTTCAGCAGTCGCTCACGATTAAAAAGAGCCCGTACTCACCGTAATCCATCACTCAGATCTGAAGATATTCCTAATGTAGTTGTAACACACGAAACCCCACAGGCGCACACAGAGCGTTGTATATAGATGGAGCATTGGTGCCGCCTTTTGACCCATAATTCAATGAAGCATGCATAAATTGTGGAAAATTGCACATCATTATTCACAGCTGATTGTAAAGATTAAAAAGAGCCCAAACTCACGTTAATGCATCACTTAGATCTAAAGATATTACTTATGGACTTCTAACACATGAAGGTGTCCTATGCGCAGCAACGCAGTAGCAGTAGCAGTAGCAGTGATTGCTATGTTGTTCTGATGTGACGTTTCGGCTCATCATAACTCAATGAAACATGCACGGATTGTGAAAAATTTAACACTTTATTGACAGCAGATTCTCACGATTACAAAGAGCCCAAAATAATAATCCATTGCGCTGATCGCGAGAAATACCTCATGAAGTGATGCATACTTGGCTAAAAAACATGTCTCTCATCTTTTCAGGATTCATTGTGTTTTCCAATGTTCCCGGAACCATCCGCGCTTTTTCTTTTACGTGGAATAACACAAAATATGTATCGTTTTAAAGCTTAGAATCTCAGCTTTTTAACGCATCCAACCACTTAGATCAACTCTGAACGAGTGCTGACTGAACTCTCTAAACCGGAGTGTCCCACCCGTGGGCGCCGCCTAGCTGCGTAAAATGTTCATTACCATATTTTTTTTAAAAATTGCCTTGATTAACAAAAAATAGGTTTCATTTGAAAGCTTAGAGTCTGAACTTTACAGTGAATGTAGCCACTTTGAAAAACTCCTAAGTAGTGCTGAGTTATTTGCTGATAAATATTTTAAAAAAATCATAATCAATAAAATACTTTTCTGTACTATGTAGTGTAATGTGTCAAAAACATCATACAGCTCATGAAACATTCACAGATAGTTGAAAATGGCACATCATTTTTTACAGCATATTATTACAATTAAAATGAGCCCAAAATGAACTTAATCTATTGCATATGACAAGATATTCTCCATGGAGAAACAATTTCAAGAATGCCCAGTAGGGGGGCGTAAAGAACTGAGAACTGACTACATTGGTTCCAAATGCTATAACTTTTGATTCCTTAATCCAATCAGCACAATTTGATCCAGATGCAGCTCACATATAGAGGGACTTCACCAAAAAAGAAAAAAGAATTTTCCTCCTACCTTATTTCCTTCCTGAGTTATTCTATGTCAAATAAGAAAGATATGCAAAATCATAATAAAAATTATATTTATTTTTTTGTCTTTTTTTCAGCAGTTTTTCAGCAGCAGAATGTTCAAACGTAAGCTTGACTAAAGCTTGAAATGTCCTATTTAAAATGAACAAATTCGAATCAAAGCTAATACCGGTAACTTCTAATTATTTAATCCGTAAACGTGCATTTCTCTCTAAAGGTGCATCCGCTTAACAGTGGAGATGAAGTGGAGATATGTTTTTATCTCCGGGAGTATGGGTCCCAACCCCAAGGGCTCTCCGGTCCCTGCATGACCGAAGCAGGAGTCAGACTTCTTCCTGGTGCATGTTGGATACCGGCAGGGCTGCCCTTTGTCGCCGGTTCTGTTCATAATTTTTATGGACAGAATTTCTAGGTGCAAGCAGGGGCCGGAGGGTGTCCGATTTGGGGACCACGCGATTTCGTCTCTGCTCTTTGCGGATGATGTTGTCGTGTTGGTCCCTTCAGATCAGGACCTTCAGCGTGCACTGGGATGGTTTGCAGCCGAGTGTGAAGCGTCTGGGATGAAAATAAGCACTGCCAAATCCAAGCCCATGGTCCTCAGTCAGAAAAGGGTGGCTTGCCCACTTCAGGTTGTTGGAGAGATCCTTCCTCAAGTGGAGGAGTTTAAGTATCTTGGGGTTTTGTTCACGAGTGAGGGAAGGATGGAATGGGAGATTGACAGAGAGATTGGTGCAGCTTCTGCAGTAATGTGGTCGATGTACAGGTCTGTTGCGGTGAAGAAGGAGCTGAGCCGCAAGGCAAAGCTCTCGATTTACCGGTCAGTCTACTCCTACTCTCACCTATGGTCATGAGCTTTGGGTCATGACCGAAAGGACAAGATCCCGGATACAGGCGGCCGAAATGAGCTTTCTCCTCAGGGTGGCTGGGCGATCCCTTAGAGATGGGGTGAGAAGCTCGGTCACTCGGGAGGAGCTCAGTGTAGAGCCGCTGCTCCTCCACATCGAGAGGGGTCAGCTGAGGTGACTCAGGCATCTGTTCCAGATGCCTCCTGAACGCCTTCCTGGGGAGGTGTTCCGGGCACGTCCCACTGGGAGGAGACCCTGGGGAAGACCTAGGACACTCTGGAGAGACTATGTCTCCCTGCTGGCCTGGGAACGCCTCGGTGTCCCCCTGGAAGAGCTGGAGGAATTGTCTAGGGAGAGGGGAGTCTTGGCATCTTCGCTAAGAATCCTGACCAAGGGCACAAAAGTACACGGACATGATGCGTGACAGAGTTCTTTATTAAATTTATAAAGTAATCAAAAATTAAAGGAATACTGGATTCTAAACCTCAAATAAATGCAATAATCAAGACCTTGGAGCAGAAATGAGGGAGAAACACCCAGGAACTCCTGTTTATATAGGCCTATGTGCCGTTCGCAGTCTTTCTATGCCATTAACGCTTAGATAACACACCACGTCTCCTTCCGAAACCTATATCCGTCCTTTGCCATGATTTCTGGAATGAGTTCTAGCGAGAGGAAAATAAAAGTTTTAGTCGCTTAAAATCATTTAATGGAAATGCCGTCATTTCAATCGTAAAATTTTTGCACAAATCTGTAAAGGTAACGCGCCTCTCCGATAAGATCCTCGCTGAAACCAGACAAAGTTAACATGTTGGTTATCCTGTCATGAAACATGAAGACCCGAAAAATAAAGCAGCAGTACTTGACGATTCACGTCTTAAGCAACCGCCAAGACTTGTTCAGACTATTACTCTTTTATTTTGCACTTAAATAAAAGCTTTATTTATGGTAAGCCTAATTATACTTAATTAATTAATTGTTAATATTTACATTTTAATATAAATGTTAATTTTGCTGTTAATAATAAGGAAAACTGCTCTATAATTATTAAAAAGGTTGTTGGTTTAGCCTTATTAATAGTTAATTATAAATATTTACAATTTAATATAAATGCTTGTACAATTTAATATAATTAGAGATGCACCGATTACAGTTTTCTAGGCTGATCCCGATTTCCGATTTTTCCTTTGTTTGACCTGCCGATGCCGATTTTAGCCGATTCTGATTTCATTTTTTCAAACCACTTTACAGCACAAAAAAAAAATGTATTTTCTATCTCCTCTTTAATAGAACAGTTTGCATAGAACATTTTGAACAGATAATTACTATAAAACATGCAAACTATATAAATTACTTCTGGTGTGGGAAATTCACACAGATCTAAAGTGCAGTGTTAAGGAAGAACCATTTTCTTTTCACATCCAATAACCAAAAAATTTTTTAGCATTATTTAAATTTTTAGCATTATTTAGCATTTAAATTCAATGGCATTTTATTTAAAATAAACATAGCCTTATTTCTCTCTCACACATACAGACCTATTGCAATCATTTGTACATCATTGGCAACGCAAGTTATATTTCTCAAACAGTTCTTCTCTCATTTGACACATGTCCAGCCAGGCTAAACAGGACAAGTGGAGCATGTGCAGGGAAACTATTGGGAATCAATAAAAACATGCTTAAATGGGTACATTTTCTTTAAATATTTTAAAATCTTCATTTTCTTTTCTGACATAGTCTTGCCTACTTCAGTTCTTGTTAAAACACACCAGACATGCACATTTTTGGATGAAATCACATGTATTTTGTCCATCAAAATTGTGCTTTCACTTTGAGCCAACCCTGTATCACACGAAATACGTTCTGAGGAAACTATTTTGCAAATCGCAATTACGTTACACGCCAACATATAAGCAGTGCTATTACGTTGGTCCTTAACCTAATGTCTCATTGTTAATACGTAGGTATTAAAGGTGCCATATGGAATAATTGAGGTAAAAATATCCAAAAAAATGAGCAACACCTATCAAAAGAATGAGTAGAAATAAGTGCAATGATGTCATTAAAAAACTGACAAGTTATAGTGCTGCCGAGATATAACCTAAATTAGCATGCTAAATTACTAGCCCCGGCCCGGCATGTGTCGTAATACCAGTTTCGGCCATGGGAGGCGGTATGCGGGCGGGCAACATTGCCACCAGCCAAACTGCAGTAACATGAGTAAGTCGCGCCGGCTTGTGTGTACGTGAACCTGATGTCATGTCGTGATGTCGTGTGGAAATACAGCCCGCTACTAAATTTCAGTTCAGGGATGAGTTAAATAAATGATTGGTCGATATTATGCATGAGGAATACATTTTGGTAAGTTGTAACATATCTAACATTTACAAGCGCCAAAACTGCATTTATTGTTTGAATTGCGTAATAAAATTAACAGAATCTGAGAGCTGAGATCGGTCTCTGTGTCCTTTTCTGTTCATGACAAAATGGATGTGTGGCGTGAGAGTGTGTGAAAAGTTGTGTGTCTCACGGTGAATTCGTGAGAGTTGTCAGCTCTGAAAGACGCTAGCTTGGTCCACATCAGGGAATGCTGTCTGTCAAATTAATTCAAACTAATGATAAAAATGTAACATGAACAAAACGAATACCATAAACTAAAAATGCCTGGGCTTTAATTTTCCAGAGCAGAAGTGTTTGCATCTTTTTGAACCACATGGCAGCTGATCTCGAATTAGATGTTGTCCAAACTTTGTTGTTTATGTACAACATGTTTTGTGGTCAAATTACTATTCTTTTTTTCGATTATGACTTCTTTTCAACATGTTAATTCGATAAGGAATACGCTGGAAGAAAAATTGGCAGAGAGTAGGAAACAAAATGAAGTAGCGAAATGTAAAGCACGGAGACGCCATCGGATGCTAAAAGCTACAGTTCTTTGTACACAGCTCATGCACATGGGTGTTTCGAAGAGAAGACTGTGGATGGTACAAAGACCTCAAGGGGCTGTCTTTTGGTCTAACGTCCTTGAAAACTTCAACGAAGATCAGTGGCGCCTGCTCTTTCGAATGTCATGGGACACGTTTGAGTTTGTTCTGCAACTTGTTGAGCTAGGCCTGAGACGCAAGCCTACTAACTGGAGAAAGCCTCTTGAACCACGACGTAGATTGGCTATTGTTTTGTGGTGGTATGCTCTTTTTGGTGTGGGGCTGTCTACTGTTTGTACACTGGTTCACAAAGTCACTGCAACATTGAAGAGAAGGCTAACTGGAACCTAACCTTGCCTAACTGGAACATCACAGAAGTTTTGCAAGAGCCTGATCAAAAAATGTTTCAGGGGGTGGGAGAGCATAATTGTCAAGGAATTTTCCTAATCCAGCTGTAGAAACGAAGAGGATGACAACAGTGTGAATGTGCTGTTTTCTGTTTCTTCTGATGTGCTTGGGATATTGAAGCGGGTGTGGCGTGCGGGCACATAATAATATGTGGGTGCCGGAGCTGGCATGTGGCATAGGAGTCCCCCCCCCCAAAAAAAAAAAAACGGGTTTGGGTCTCTTGTAGCTCGCGCAGCATCGAACATCTGCCTTGCCAGTTCATCTTCCCTTGCAAGACTTGCCTCCCTCCTCAGTTGCTCCTCGTATTCCCTCTGCTCTGCCAAACGAACACGCTCCCTCTCCTCAAAGTCCCTGTCCATTTTAAAAAAGAGGACCTTCACCTCTTTCACAATAGTTTGAGTCCTGGACAGTTGCTTACTGGCCTTTTTGCAGTAGGTGGTTGAGGTGATTCTGAAAAGACATACCCAAAAGTTGTATTATTAACCAGGAATACACGTGACAAAGTAATAGACTACAACCATGGAGACATTGTAAAACAATTAAACTTGGCTTGATGCGTGAACACTGATATTAGTGGACCACATTTACCATAAAGCTTATTTATTAACACTGTATAGAATATAAAAGGGAAGAATACGCTTATTACATTTTGCACGTTTATCTGAGAGAGTGAAAGTCCCGAACAACCGCACTCTCACCGTCTTCAAACTGTCTTGTTCTCTCTCCCTCCCTTGCGCATATTAATGAATTGAGTCCACTAAATATATTTGAGAATACATGAAAAAGCTTAGAAGGTAAAAGGTCAGAAGACCAAAGTTTTTTTTTTCTTCTGCTCTACCACTGGTTGTGAATTGTGCTAAAATAACGTAGCCTTATCTTCTCTGAAAAGCGTTCCACACATTCAGGTGACAAACCACACTTTCAATTAAAAAAAATAAAATCTATCCAGTGATGAAATGATTTCTGTGTTGACACAAATCTTGTTCAATGTCCTCACCTACCCGGATAATCACACAACGTGTGCCGTGGTCTATTAACGACACGTCCGATTCGCGAACTAATAACTCACTTGAACTGATTCACTTTAATGAGTGGTTAAAACAACTGATCTATCCAACACAAACGAAAAGAAACATAAACCGGAAACACTTTACAATAAGGTTCCATTTATTAAAGTTAATGTTCTATTAATATTAGATTCTATGTGGATTTACTCCATAACAAAACCACCTGTCATTCTAGAATGATTCATTCATTCCAGATAGAGTTATTCAAGTAATCTGGAGAAATTGTTTTTATATCACAATATATATCGCAGAAAAATAAAATACTGCAATGCCATTTTTTACCAATATCGTGCAGCCCTAATCACCATAATGAATGAGCTGAAAACAGGGAACTTATAGAGACAAGCGGTTTTTCAGCTGCTCAATTAAACATGATGTTCCTGTACTTTTTAAATGCAGATTAGATAAAAACAGTGATCACAGTTCACACCTGCAGTGAAGCCCCTCCCACAACAATTCACCAATAAATACTGGGAATATTCCCATCATCCTACAAGAGAAGGACAAACTCCAGGAGTAGCAGCTGAAATCTGTGTGACTGTTAAAGATGGAGTTTATTAAAGAAGAGATTGAAGACATGAATGATCCAGAACCATCCAGAATAAAACATGAAGATACTGAGGAGCAAATAGGTTAGTGTCCATTCTTGATTCTTCATTGTTGATGCCTTGGTATGTGAATTAACCCTCAGGTGCTCTTCGGTCATTTCTGACCGAAAATTTTTTTAAATCACAGCTTCATCGTAATGTTACGAAACTTGGTGACTTTTATGGCATTGGGTATGTGAACACACAAAAAAAAATTGAGGTCATGATCCAAGCAGGCTAAGTGGTCGTAAAAAAAATAGTCACACTTTTCAGACTGATCTCATGAAGTAGCGTGTGTATGACACGCCAATTCGTATTTCCATTTTTTGCGTGCTATCAAGACGCATAATTGCTTTTCAGTGTGTTTATGAACGCCGTTGACTTAACGTTATATAAATATATGACTTACCTCAACCCCGTCCCTAAACCTAACCGTCACTGGGGTTAATGGCATTTATGACTGTTCCCTTACCATCCTAGGAAAGAAAAAGATATGATTTACCTCAACCCCATCCCTAAACTTAACCCTCACTGGGGTTAATGGCATTTACTGTATGACTGGAGATTTGACGTCGTGTACAGACACGCGGAATGACGCGGACGTTAATGGCGTAGACATACACGCAAACACGCGGATAGCTCAAAATGCGTAGAGATAACACGCCACTTGACTCGAAAGTGGCGTGTATGTTTACACAAAAGTCATGATGTCATGTTGCACTTGTGCTCTTCGGTCAAAAATGACCGACCCATAGGAAATGAATGGGAAATTGACAAACACAATAACTTTGAGAATTTTTGTGTGTACCATCTACAAATCAGCCACGATGCAGAAAAAAAGTGCTCAGCATTGAAGGGGTGACACTCTAAAATATCAAGAGTGCAAAACAGACATACCCACCCACACACACACACACACACACACACACTTTTATACACAAAAACACCAATAAATTGTGATTAAAGAAATCTGTTTTGAATATTTAAAAATCACAGCTTCTTCAGAAAGTTACAAGACTTGGTGACTTTTATGGCATTGGGTATGTGAACACACAAAAAATGTAGGTCATGATTTGAGCAATTTAAGTGGTTGTAAAAAAATGAGTCACACTTTTGCTCTTCTGTCAAAAATGATCGACCCATAGGAAATGAATGGAAAAAAAAAAATCTCAGAATTTTTGTGTACAATCGACAAATCAGCCACAATTCTAAAAAAAAAAAAGTACAGGAAAGGGGTGACACTCTACAACATCTAGAGTGCAAAACAGACACACCCACCAACACATACAAACACACTTTTATACACATACATACACACCAAAAAATTTTGATTACAAAAAGTATGTTTTGAATTTTTAAAAATCACAGCTTCATCGCAATGTTACGAAACTTGGTGACCTTTATGGCATTATGTATGTGAACACACAAAAAAATTGAAGTCATGATCTGAGCATGCTAAGTGGTCTTAAAAAAATTAGTCACACGTGTGGTCTTTGGTCAAAAATGACCCCATAGGAAATGAATGGGAAATTGTAAAAAAAAAAAAAAAAAAAAAAGATACAAAAATTGTGAATTTTTGTTTTGTCAATTTTTTTATAAGAAATAGTTTTTGAGATTGTTTCAACTATATATTCAAATCCACCAACAACAACAAAAGTGTTCATAAACAACTGGGGAATTCACATCCCTCTCCATAGAGCGCTGTACATGCCATCTAGTGGTTACACCATGATTCCACAGTTTTTCTCTATACTGTAACCAGATGGTGCTAATTTTCTTCAAAAATTTTCTGCATTAATATTTAAAAAAAAAAAAAAAAATATATATATATATATATATATATATATATATATCCATGGCAAAAATAAACTATAAATATTGCATAAATATTAATAAATTCAATTAAATTGTCTCAAAATACTAAATTAAAAAGAATAATATTATAGAACAAAAATAAATTGCATTGGTTTTACTGGGATGGAGAAAGTTTCATTTTTAGGCGTCCGGTCACTTTTGACCGGGAAGATAACAAGTGTGACTCCGAAACGAAGAGCACCTGAGGGTTAATAAGCAGTATATGGATGTACCTTGTATGTAGCAGTTGTCAAACATTTTTACTATATTAACAAGTGAGTGACAGAACAAAGAGTGAAAGATCTGATCTGTTGCTTTCTGCAGACTGATCTCATGAAGTAGCGTGTGTATGACACGGCAATTCGTATTTCCATTTTTGCAGTGCTATCAACACACATAATCGCTTTTCGGCGTGTTTATGAACACCGTTGACTTAACGTTATTACTGTATATATAAATATGACTTACCTCAACCCCGTCCCTATAAACCTAACCGTCACTGGGGTTAATGGCATTCATGACTGTTCCCTTACCATCCTAGGAAAGAAAAAGATAGCTCCCCAGATGTAGATGTACAGTTTGCTTCGTTTCACTCGGACATTTGACGTCGTGTACAGACACGTGGAATGACGCGGACGTTAATGGCGTAGACATGTACGCATACACACGGATAGCTCAAAATGCATAGAGATAACACGCCACTTGACTTGAAAGTGGCGTATATGTTTACGCAAAAGTCATGATGTCATATTGCTTTCTGCTATTAAATAAGGGTTCACTTGAAATGATTCTAACTGTATTTCTGTGTATTTTAGACCAGGTGAGAGTGAAAGAGCAAAGACAAGAACTGATTGAAGAGGAGGAGGAACATCGTAACTTTACAATTCAAAGAATAAAAGCCGAAAAGACGCACACCTGCATTTTCACAGAGAAAGGACACCTTAACACACACATGAGAATTCACACTGGACAGAAACTATATACATGCAATCAATGTGGAAAGAGTTTCAGAAATACATCAGGTCTCAGTGTTCATCTGCGCATTCACTCTGGAGAGAAACCGTATACATGCACGCAGTGTGGAAAGAGTTTCATACATAAAGGACACCTTAACACACACATGAGAATTCACACTGGAGAGAAACCGTATACATGCAATCAGTGTGGAAGGAGTTTTTCTCAATCATCAACTCTCAGTGTTCATCTGCTCCGTCACTCCGGAGAAAAGCCATTTTACTGTGATCAGTGTGACAAAGATTTTGTTTCATCATCAAATCTAAAATCACACCTAAAAGTTCATTCAGATGAGAAGCCTTATGTGTGTTCTCTCTGTGGAAAGAGTTTTTCAAGGCTGTACAGTTTTAAACTGCACCAGAAAACACACAATGAAGTGAGAGATTATGTGTGCTTTGACTGTGGGAAGAGCTTTACTACATCTGGTGAACTGAAACTGCATCAAAGGATTCATACTGGAGAAAAACCTTACAAGTGCTCATATTGTGACAAGAGTTTTACTCGGTCTGCACACCAGAAATCACACGAGCGAGTTCACACTGGAGAGAAGCCGAACGATTACACCGATCAAGTAATCTAGTAACTCATATGAGAAAGCATTGTTCTGTGTCACTGTGAGCTGTGTTAGATTCACATTAAGTAAATGTGTAGTTAGTTAACTAATAAACTAGTGTTGCTGTGAAATGCCACAAGATTTGTGTTTTATATGTTGGAAAATAAGAATATTATTGAAAATTATTTTGATTGGACGCTTCCCAGATAGCAAACTGACATTGAATCAACGTGGAAATATGACATCGAAACAACGTTGATCTGACATTGTTTTGCTCATCGAATTAACGTTGAACCAACGTCAGACGCGTCATTCTTTCAAAACTAACGGAAAATCAACTTGAAATCAACGCGTTGTTTCAACGTTATGAAAGCAAACTAATTTTCGATTTCATTTAGCTTTGAAGAATGCCGCGTCTGACGTTGGTTCAACGTTAATTCGATGAGCAAATCAACGTTGTTTCAATGTCATGAGAGACGTCGTTTCCACATTGATTCAATGTCAGTTTGCTGTCTGGGTTACTCAAAGTAAAAGTAAAATGAAAAGAGACTGAAAACAAATGCAGAAAAAAATATTGTTAATATATGACACACATTCCTGAACTTGATCAGGTTTAAAAAAAAAAAAATTAGTTACATGAAGCCTGTTAATGCATATACAGATGTATGTACAATAACAAAAAAAATACCATTTTACTGACAATGTGTGATTTTGTGTGTAAAAGGTTTCGACAGATCTAACAATTGACAAATTGACCTTGTCATTTTGGCGTCCAAAAAAGTTTGGCTTGTGCTATTTGTAGCACTCACGGTCACTTGGCTTCATTCTGCCCTAAAGCATTCGCAAGCAATGATCCGGCTTATCTGTGGTTCTGAAAACGTTAGGGATGGGCACCGAATTCCAGTATTAAAATGGCCCGGTGCTAAATTATGAAAGGCTGTAGTATCGATAAGCTCTGACGCTATCGGTTCTGGTTTCGGTACTGGAGAAATTAAGAAAATATATTTACAGTTTATCATTGCTTAATAATGTTATCCTGCACATTTTATCTCACAACCATTTCTAATTTGCGATCATATTAAGAGGTTGGTCTGTATTTTTATTATTCGCAATTCAGAAGTGAGATCTCTCGTGCGCGGAGTCCGCGAAGGCTGTCGGTCACACACACAACAGTGAGCACAGCGCACATGCACAACAGACGAAAACTCCCGCTTAATACAATAATGAAAATGGCAGAGAGAACAAAACGTTCAAAAGTGTAGTTACACTTCACGAGAGTTGATGCAGACAACGCTCGTTGTCAGAAGTGCAACAAGATGTTTGCATGTAAGGGCCGGAAACACAAGCATTCTGTCAAAGCATCTTTCAAAAGTGCATTATGTGCAGACAGAGAAATGCAAGGTTTTCGACTGGCTTGCCAACTTGTCTGTGGTTGCGCCATCTACATCAGGTATGTAGCCTATGCTAGCAGCCTCCCCAATGACAATGACACAAAATCATAGCATAATCGAGATCTCTCGTGTCATCGAAACAATGTCAACAATCTCCAACATTGATCCAACATTTTTTTGCTCATTAAAATCATGTTGAATCAAGGTGTGCTTTTTAGCAATTGTTGGTTTGGTGCTTTTGCATTTGTGCAAAACAATTGCAATTGCATTTACTACAAATGATGGCCGTGAAAGAGACTGCGTAGCTGACTTAAAGATTCAGTTAACAAATGAATAAGAATGTTTATTTTTAAAGCACAATTTTTAAACCACAAACCTCTCTAATGTTAAAATGTTTATTTTTAAACCACAACTTCAATGTGTGCTTCTTTTAGCTATATATTTAGCGATATCTTTTGCATTTCTATGACAAACAACGTCAAACTCTGCATTGCACTTACCCGTGCCCGTAGCAAGACAGTTGTCAAGTTTGAGATCCATCGGACTAACGGTTCAAGAGATATGCGATTAACAGACAGACAGACGGACGTTCCTGTAATTTATAGATAGATGTACAATCTCCATAATTGTTTTGATTACCTTTCGTTGAAATTATGTTGATTTAATTTGGTAGAAATTGCTGTATGCATTCAGCATTTTTTCGACAGTTTGTTTTTAAAATCACAAATAAAAGAAAATTCAGTAGTTTCTGCAATCTTAAACACTAAAAAATGCCTTCACATTTGTGCATTAACAAATATAATATTTAGAACTGGTGCATTATCTGAGGGAGGGAACGGAGACGTAAGTCCCGTCGCCACATCTGCTGCCGCCAGCAGCTTGTGATATACCCGCACTAACGAGGCTGTGCAGCTGATGCAAATAATTGCACACCAATGTGCATTGGCTTGTTTTAGGTTCACTCAAAGTAAATTGGCTGTCTAGCGAGATTCCTCAGACTGATCTCATGAAGTAGCGTGTTTATGACACGCCAATTCGTATTTCCATTTTTGGTGTGCTATCAAGACGCATAATCGCTTTTCAGCGTGTTTATGAACGCCGTTGACTTAACGTTATATAAATATATGACTTACCTCAACCCCGTCCCTAAACCTAACCGTCACTGGGTTAATGGCATTTATGACTGTTCCCTTACAATCCTAGGTAAAAAAAAGATATGACTTACCTCAACCCCGTCCCTAAACTTAACCGTCACTGGGGTTAATGGCATTTATGACTGGAGATTTGACTGTGTGTTCAGACACGCGGAATGACGCGGACGTTAATGGCGTAGACATATACGCATACACGCGGATAGCACAAAATGCGTGGAGATAACACGCCACTTGACTCGAAAGTGGCGTATATGTTTACGCAAAAGTCATGATGTCATGTTGGATTCCTATTGGTCAGTCATGACCTACGTCTCCTTTCCCTCCCTCAGGGAACGAGGGTTACCATATGTAATCGAGACGTTTTACAAAATACAGTCAACTCAAATGGCAATATTTTGAGGCAAACAATAAATAGTCACAGAAATTATCCAAATTTACCTTTTTTAAGACAACAAGGTGTTGTTCAGCTTGATATGAGCACAACTTTCAGGTCTTTCCAGGATGGTGGAATCAAATCAAGGAGGAGACAAATTGATGCAAGATCGAGAATTACAGATGAGATGACAAATTGCAAAAAAAAAAAAAAAAAAAAAAAAAGCAAGAAAATGCAACCAAAAAAAAATGTTGGGACGCATATAGATAAACATATTCTGAACTATAGTCTAACCTGACTCATCAGTTTCATCATCTTTAACAGCAGATTCTGCAGAGTCAATCAGTTCCTTGAAGCTCTTGGGAGAAGCCTTTCTAGGAACTTAGCTGAGGTCCTCTAACCAAAAATCAAAAACAAAAAAACAGTCAACAGTTATATAGCATATTGACAACCATATCTCTCCCAGTGCCGGGCAGAGTAGTGCCATTCACACCTGGCTTTATATTTAGTCTTCCCACAAGTGAACAACTCGAAGTACAGGTGTAAACGCCCCCAAGACGATTAGCAGAGATGACGCATTAGAGGAAATAGAAGTTGTGAAAGAGTTTACGTATCTTGGAGTTACTTTACTCTCACTTTTAAAAGCCATGTAAAAAAGTTGTCTAATATTGTGAAATTTAATTTAAAGAATTGTAGGTATATTAGGTCCGTTTTGACAATTGGTGCTGCAAAGTTGTATTTATATTCAATGATTTTTTTTTCACATATGCAGTATTATTTTAGTAGTTGGTCTTTTACGAGTAACTCAATTTTTAAGTCAATAGAAATACTGTATAAGAAGGCGATAAAAGTGTTTGATTAAAAAAAACCCTCTCATTTCACAACTGTTAAATAAATAAAAACAGTGTATTGAGTTTTGACAATTTTTAAAATTTTAATTATGCGTGCTTTGTTTATAAGGTCTGGCATGGCCTTGCTCCACCTCCATTGCAGGAGTTTATTAAACAAAGGGCAGATTGTGGTATTGGTACCAGTAGAGGGGACTGGGAAGTACCAAATAGGCGAACATCCTTTGGCCAGAAAGTGTTATCAGTGATAGGGGGCAAATATTTTAATAGTTTGCCACAGTCAATACGACAATGTTCTACTTTTCACACTTTTAAAGAACATCTTAAGAAGTGGCTTATAAAAAATCAAGTGTGTAAACATTTTTCTTAGTAATTTTTGTGACGTGTTTTTATGTATTGTGTTTTTAGTTGAGTCTTGTGTATAGTGAGTATTTGTTATTGTGTGTACCTGCCTAGGGACTACGGACGTAAATTAGCAATACTGCTATAATATGGCTTGTTTACATCTTGTATTATATACAAATGTTCATCAACATGCTTTGTCCCTATCAAAAAATAAATAAATAAATAAATAAATAAAAATTAAAATAAATAACTTTTCGCAGTTTAATATTTTGAATTTACATAATTCATGATGACACATCAATAACTATGCCATTATGACAATCAAGACACATAGTTTTAGATTTTTCATGTTCATTCGTCATGTATTAATTTGTACTGCACATAGAATAAAATAATACTACACTCACAATTCTGGATTAATCTTCAGAATTATGTTGCTTTCTTCATTTCTATTTGCAATCTCCTGAGAGGAGCTTCCTTCACTTGACACTGCAGGGGTCTGGGCAAAATCTATTGAAAAATATTATGTACAGATTATGTAATTCACACTCATTCACACCTCAGTCTGCAAAAGACTACATTTGTTGTTTTAAGTGTGCACTAACGTTACAAGATACTTAAACACACTGTTAATGATGTGAATGTGTCGCGAAAACGGAACTGTTAACGTTTTAATGTATAACAGCGACTTTTATACACACAAAACAAATATACAAATACAGCTGCGAGCAGCGATTACGGGCCCAAGCCAGTGGCACCGCAACTCCTGTTCCTTTAGTTACCTAAAGGCACCGGGGTGGCTGTACCAGCAGCTTTGGCCCTTCATCGCTGCTCACGGCTATAACTATAAATATATATATATATATATATATATAAAAGTTATGATGCCTTTCAGTAAGTATACTGTATCTTTCAGCATACCATAACTGAGGAAGAGATGATTGCGTTTACTCGCGCACCTAGTAGGCCTACAGCGATCTCTCACGCCACATCAAAGAGCGCCAAAACGCCATTTATTGTTTGAATTTTGTGATCAAATAGACAGAATTTGAAAGATTACACCTTGCTTATTATCGAAAGTAACAAAACACGGAGTTTGTTATTTGGTGTTAATGGTGGTTAGGCTACAAAACTGAATTCGGTGTGTACTGTACACATAAGACATGAGGTCCATTGAGCCAGGCCGGGCGGGGCCGGGGTAGCAGGGGGTGGGGCGTGTTCGGCACGCAATGAGAGTATCGCGATTTGAATCGTGAGTTCTGTATCGTGGTTTTTCGGTTCAGTTCGAATATCGTTACACCCCTAATATATATATGGCTGTAAAAATAAATCTGCATTGTTTATCCTTTTGATCTTTCCTTAAAAAAGTTGCAAAATTCTAACATTTCATTGAAGTAAAAGAATTGAAAGTGGGGGGGGGGAATCACATTATGAAATAAAAAATTTTCTTCTCCAAAACACGCTGGCTATTATTGTTGGCACCCCTAGAATTTTTTACAAGTAAAATATCTCTAAAGTATATTCCCATTATTATTCACCTTTATTTAGCACACAAGGGTGATTAGGAACATGAAATTGTCCGGTCATGACTTCTTGTTTCACAGGAGTTTAAATATGAGGAAAGTCAAGTCAAGTCACCTTTATTTATGTAGTGTTTTTTACAATACAGATTTATCAAAGCAGCTTCACAATGATAACATGAAAATAATACAACACAGATCAATAATATTGTTGAATATTAAATGTCCCCAACTAAGCAAGCCAAAAGCCAAGGCAACAGTGGCATGGAACCAATCACGGCACGGAACTCCATCAGGTGACAGAATGGAGAAAAAAACCTTGGGAGAACCCAGGCTCAGTCGGGGGCCAGTTCTCCTTAGGCCAACGAAGGAACAGTGTGATTCGGGTAGCATTACAAAACAAATTGAATTGAAACATTAGGAGTATTTGTCCATTACTATCTGTTTGGAAGTCGAAGTAATCACACCGGTTTGGAGACGAGAAGTTGAGGATCAGTGCCAATTGAATGGAGAAAAAAACCTTGGAGCAACCCAGGCTCAGTCGGGGGCCAGTTCTCCTTAGGCCAACGAAGGAACAGTGTGATTCGGGTAGCATTACAAAACAAATTGAATCGAAACATTAAGAGTATTTGTCCATAACAATCTGTTTGGAAGTCGAAGTAATCACACCGGTTTGGAGACGAGATGTTGAGGATCAGTGCTGATGGCTTTCGTGTCGATGAGGCCGGCATTTAAGAATGAGTCAGGATGGGTCCAGGCGCAGGTCCACCATAGAGGGTCCCTCGGGATAAACAGAAAAACAAATATTAGCGTAGACGCCATTCTTCTTATGATGCACCAAGTACATCAGGATTTACAGGATGTGTTCCCGGTTCCGGCTGATCTAAACTATGCAGCCTAATTTTGAATTAAGGAAGTCTATAGTGTTTTATGTGTATGCTAGGCCAAAGAGTTGTGTTTTTAGTCTAGATTTGAACTGACAGAGTGTGTCTGCTTCCCGTGTAAACTTAACTCACAATAACAAGAAAACGTTATGCATTTATAAAGTAAAAAGGAAACAATCAGAGGCAGCTACATGATCTCTGTGAACTGGAGTGCGAGAACTGAAACAAAATATTGGCCATTTAGACTAAAGCTTGAAATGTCCACTTTAAAACGAACAAATTTGAATAAAAGATAATACCAGTAACTTCTAATAATGTAATCCATAAACGTGTATTTCTCTGTAAAGGTGGATCTTAAGAGTGGAGATGGAGATGTGGTTTTAGCCGGCACTGATTTAGAAAACAATAGTTTATTAATAAACAATAAAAATGCTTTGTTATTTTTTCGGACACGTTTATTATAATCTATGACTCACATTTAAATGACCTTTCTTTAGGCTGTGGTTATGGCTCTTCTCAAAAATATAAATTCCAGGTTCTAATTAGACCTTAGAAAACCAAAATTTGCCCTTTTTTCCCCCATATTATTTTGTGAATATTTTAAATGGTTAATTATTAATATTTACAATTTAATATAAATGTTAATTTGTTAATAAAGAATACTGCTTGATAATAATGATTCATTCCCAGATAGCAAACTGACATTGAATCAACGTGGAAATATGACATCGAAACAACGTTGATCTGACATTGTTTTGCTCATCGAATTAACGTTGAACCAACGTCAGACGCGTCATTCTTTCAAAACTAACGGAAAATCAACTTGAAATCAACGCGTTGTTTCAACGTTATGAAAGCAAACCAATTTTCGATTTTCATTTAGCTTTGAAGAATGCCGCGTCTGACGTTGGTTCAACGTTAATTCGATGAGCAAAATCAACGTTGTTTCAATGTCATGAGAGACGTCGTTTCCACGTTGATTCAATGTCAGTTTGCTGTCTGGGTTTGCATTGTCACTTATAAGCTACATGTTCTTGATTGCTTCTGCAGTGTGTGACGTGGCCGTGATTTAAGTATTTTTTGTCAGTTAACCACCACACCACGAGATTTGTTGCTGCACCGCGGTAAGAATAAATCCCATACCGTCACAGCCCTACACAGAATTACATTACAACTATCAACACACTCAAATACTGTTTAGTGTGTTGGTGTAACTGTTAGAGCAAGTAAAACAGCGCTGCGTTACCTCAAGTTTCATTCGACTAATAAACTGACCTCTGTGAGTAATGCAGCACTTGCATGTAGTTCGGTAGAATGAAATCTCCATATTCCTTTATATCCGCAGGACTCGCGTTTGTCGCTGATATCTGCGATGTATGTCTCTCATTAGCAATAGCGCCCTGCTTCACACCACAGTCATGTTAAAAACATCAGTGTATTCACTCATCCATATAAGATCCATCAGCATACAAGATCCATCAGCTTGAAGACAAGATCCATAATTCTGTTTAATGCTTTGCGTTATAAATATACACCTTTGTTTGTTATTATATAAGGTTGGCGACCCCTGGTGGCGAAAAATCGAAAAATTTTACCTTTAACTAGAGGATCACAAAACTAAAGTTTGGTACATCAAAAATATAATATTTGATAAGCAGATCTCACTTGTTTTCTGTTATCAAATCAGTGTTCACTTCTCAAAATTCAACTCATTCTAACAACTTAATGTTAACAACTTAAAGACAAGAACTGAAGTTAAAGGTGATTATGCTGTAGTTTGTTTCAGCCTGTTGACACCAATAAAACAATTTAATGTGCCAATTTACTGAAGATAACATGATGGCCCTGTCCTTTTCAAATGCAGATTGGATAAAAACACAGTGATCACAGTTCACACCTGCAGTGAAGCCCCTCCCACAACAGTTCACCAATAAATACTGGGAATATTCCCATCATCCTACAAGAGAAGGACAAACTCCAGGAGTAGCAGCGGAAATCTGTGTGACTGTTAAAGATGGAGTTTATTAAAGAGGAGATTGAAGACATGAGTGATCCAGAACCATCCAGAATAAAACATGAAGATACTGAGGAACAAACAGGTTGGTGTCCATTCTTGATTCTTCATTGTTGATGCTTTGGTGGCTGTGAATTATTAAGCATATGGATGTTCGAGAAATGTATCTAAATGACCATAAACTTTTATAGCAGTTGTCAAACTAATTTTAACTTTGTTAAAGGGATACTCCACCATTCTTTTCAAGGTGAAGTGCTCCCAAGTACTTGCTGTGGTATTCCACCTTACAATATAGTTGTCCATTTTACACGCTTAGAAAAGCGCAACGTTTTATTTTGTGTCATAGGTCGAGTTACACTGCTCGAGTAACTGTTTTTAATTGGGAAAATGTGGAGGTGCTTGGTCGCTTCTCTGTTTGGCCCATATTGAATGAACTGGGCTAGTTAAGTGCTATCAAAGTGTCTTACGCCAGAGCGATTGAGTGCACACACTGAGACGAGAGAGGTATGTATCAACTCGTCTTAGTTAAGGGAATAATATAGTTTAATATGAAAAAACGGTGGAGTATCCCTTCAACAAGTGAATGACAGAATAACAAGTGAAAGATCTGATCTCTGTTGTTTTCTTCTATTAAATAAGGGTTCACTTGAACTGATTCTGACTGTTTTTCTGTGTGTTTTAGACCAAGTGAGAGTGAAAGAGCAAAGACAAGAACTGAATGAAGAGGAGGAGGAACATCATAACTTTATAATTCAAAGAACAAAAGCCAAAAAGACGCACACATGCACTCAGTGTGGAAAGAGATTCACACAGAAAGGAAACCTTAACAGACACTTGAGAATTCACACTGGAGAGAAACCGTATAGATGCACTCAGTGTGGAAAGAGTTTTACTCAATCATCAAGTCTCAGTGTTCATCTGCTCAGTCACTCCGGAGAAAAGCCATTTAACTGTGATCAGTGTGGTAAAGATTTTATTTCATCATCACATCTAAAAATGCACCTGAAAGTTCATTTAGATGAGAAGCCTTATGTGTGTTCTCTCTGTGGAAAGAGTTTTTCAAGGCTTAACGGTTTTAAACTGCACCAGAAAACACACAATGAAGAGAGAGATTATGTGTGTTTTGACTGTGGGAAGAGCTTTACTACATATAGTCATCTGAAACAGCACCAAATAATTCATGGTGAAGAAAGACCTTACAAGTGCTCATATTGTGACAAGAGTTTCACTCATTCTGGACACCTGAAATCACACGAGCGAGTTCACACTGGAGAGAAGCCGTACTACTGTACTCAGTGTGGGAAGAGTTTCACACACTCAAGTAATCTAGTGACTCATATTAGAAAGCATTGTTCTGTGTCACAGTGAGCAAATGTTTTGTTAGATTCACATAAAGTAAATGTGTTGTTAGTTCATTAACCCTCTGAGTTCGAGTAACGCGCCGCCGCGTTTTTTTTTTCACATAGCTGCAAAATAGACTTAAAATACTCCATCATTAATGGTAATGTAAATAAAATCAATACATGATTGTAAACTATAGAGGGTCTTCTTTTTTTGAGTATACTCTTATTACCATCAAAACCTTGTGTTTTTGTGCCCTTTCAGCTCACTCTGTCTCCGCAAAAAATCTTTCTGAAACAAGTCTGTAAAATGACCTGAAACTCAGCTAATACTTCTCACAAACATGAAACATACATCTAAATAATGCTTTAAATGTCTACTTTTAAATAAAACAATTCACATTTAAAACAAACATTCTCCTGCAATGTAATCTGTATGAAACTAAAGAGGAGTACAGTTTCTCCTGTCTCAGCTTATTATCATTAGTGAGTTTACACCCTCTCGCAGAGCGCGCTATTCATAAGATAATGTGTTGGAGGCCATATTCTACATAGGTAAACGCCCCCACGCAAATGCGTTAAAAGCAGCATGTTTCATCATTATTTTCATTCACTTTTTTGCGCTTTTGGAAGATGGCACGCAACACTGGCACGGAGGCTCTTCAGTTCGTCCTGGACAGTGATGGTGAGTTCACATTTTCCTCAGAAGACTTTCCAAGCAGGAAGAGAGCGTAATATTTTGACAAACTAAAGTTAATATGTGGTAATGGTCCGAATAAGCTAGCTTCTCTAGCCCGTACTGCAATTCTTCCTTATATTTCTTATTCCGACATAGGCTACGCTCAGATTGTCAGTCCAAAAAGCACATGAAATCCATTTCAAGCTACATCCATTTGTGGTTTGAAATCCTATTCAAATATATATTTCATCACGGCCAGATGAATACGCTAAATTATCCAAATTGACAGATTGTGTTAAAGATATAAAAGATTGGATGACGCGTAATTTTCTTTTATTAAATCCAGACAAGACAGAGGTAATACTTATCGGTTCTAAAAACTGTCCACAAAACCTTTCGCAGCACGACTTTAACATATTAGGATGCCCTGTTACTTTATCCGTTACAGTAAAAGACATGTTATATTAGACTGCAACCTGTCTTTTGAAAAGCATATTTCATATGTTACAAAAACAGCTTTTTCCACCTTAGAAACATTGCTAAGCTACGTAACATGCTATCTGTCTCTGATGCAGAAAAGTTAGTTCATGCATTCATGACCTCGAGACTAGATTACTGTAATGCTTTATTAGCCGGTTGTCCTGCATCCTCAATAAACAAGCTACAGTTAGTGCAAAATGCAGCTGCTAGAGTTCTTACTAGATCAAGAAAATTTGATCATATAACACTGATTCTATCATAACTTCATTGGTTACCTATTAAGTTCCGTATTAATTACAAGGAATTGCTTTTGACTTATAAAGCTCTAAATGGTTTTGCTCCAGTCTATTTAACAGATCTTCTATCACCCTACATTCCATCGCGCTCTTTAAGATCACTAAATTCGAGGCTTCTGGTCATTCCTAGGATATCCAGATCCACCAAAGGAGGGAGAGCATTTTCACATTTAGCTCCGAAGCTCTGGAATAGCCTTCCTGATATTGTTCGTTGCTCAGACTCGCTCTCTCAGTTTAAAGCTAGACTAAAGATGCATTTATTAAGCCTGGCATTCATATACATTTTTTATTTCACAGTTACTGTAAATTTGGCCTCTAGTTCATAAATGCCAGAGGAGAACTGGCCCCCGACTGAGCCTGGGTTCTCCCAAGGTTTTTTCTTTCCATTGGGTGATCTGATGGAGTTTTAGGACACCATCGGGTCACTTAATGGAGATTTTCGGTTCCTTGCCACTGTTGCCTTTGGCTTGCTCAGTTGGGGATATTCAAATTAAATGACCCATCATACCATTGATCAGCTCTATCAAACTTGATTGTCTTTTCATGAATAAACAAACACTGTTATGTTGTCTTGATTGATACTGTGAAGCAGCTTTGATACAATCTGTATTGTGAAAAGCGCTATATAAATATATTTGACTTGACTATTCAAATACCAGGGGGTAACATATGCCTCAGTCTGAACGATTGGATTTCGGATGGTATGCGATTCTCATGCCACATAAAATGTAAACATCAGTGGTTGTAGTTGTAAGAGGAGACTTGCTGCAAGTCACTGTCTTGTTGCAAAGTGCCGGACGAGCAGAAAAATATTATTTCTGAAACATATATTGAAACTGGCACAGACAAGAGCGCGAAAAAAGCTGTAACGTTGCATACCAGCCTCCTAGAGTTCTGCATAGGGATGGGTACCGAAATCCGGTATTAAACAGGCCCCGGTGCTGAATTTTGAAAGACCGCTGTATCGATAAGCTTGGACGTTATCGGTTCTGCTGTCGGTACTGGAGAAATTAAGTAAATACACGTAGGCTACTCTTTATTATTCCTAAGACGTTATCTTGAACATGTTTATCTCGCCAGCCATTTCTATATATAAACTATATTTTAATTAAACCATTTGTCTGTGATGCAAATTTGCTATTCGCAGTTCAGAAGAGAGAGAGAGAGCGATCTCTCACGCGGAGCCACAGCACGCGTAACACGACAGCCCTGCTTAATGAGTGACAATGAGGACAGAAATAAACATTCAACGTGGTTACACTTTAGATCTGGGGTATTATTCTAATTTTATTTTAGATTTCGGCTTCCAAAGATTATAAGAAGATATTTGAGATACACCCGTTAAAAACGAGACGATCTGTCCAGCGCAACTTCCTTCACTTCTCGATGTTTTATTAACAAGTTTCGGGAGGATCACGTTCTAATGATCAAACAATCAAGTCAGCCAGCTGTCAGCAATCAGTAATCAACTGGTTCACTCAATCAGCACAAGTAAAGCCTATAAAAACACACAGTTGACTCACCCTTATTTCTCGACTGTTCTCAGCATTTGGTGTAGCAGCTACTGCTTTGCAAAAAGATGTCCCAAATGCAACTTTCAACATCCGATGACGACCTCAACCATGCTCCGCCGCCATCAGCTGGCCCCAGGACAACTTCTCCACCTGATACCGCCTCCGAGCCCCACGTTTCATCTCGTGGGCGCCGGTCGGTACAAACAACTCCTTGCATGCCAAGACGCCGGGGCTTACCCTCACCTCCACCGGCGAGGACTCCAGCTTCCTCCCCAGCGTCCTCCTATCGTTCGGCCGTGCCAACGATTCCGCCTATTGAAAAGTGGACAGTCTTGAGTCTAAGACAAGCGCTGATAAACTCAGATTTTCAGCCCTCGCGCAGGATGACTAAAGTGCAACTTTACAACATGTACGTTACCTTGCAATCATCAAACATCTCTCCTAGATCCACCCCAGGTTCCAAGGCGGCCAGCAGGCCGGGAAATTCTCGCGAGGCCCTGAACTCGCCTCGCCCGACTCTGCAACCTTCCCGTACAAGGTCTGGTTTTCCGCGCGCTTCGGCCCGGAGCGCCAGGATTTCTGCGAGCCTGGGTCGCGCTCCAGATTCCACCGCCACGAGACATCACTCGCCTCTCGCTTCACCTCAGCTTTTCAGCACGGCGCTTCCCGCCGCAGCGCCATTCACAGCTGGGCCCGCCGGCTCACATTCCGCTTCCCAGTTTTTTCCTCCTGCTGTTTCTAACCCCTTTCCTCTGCAGTGGCCTCCGGCTCCCGTAGCAAACGCTAGCGTGAGGTTGCCTCCGCTAGCGGCAGAGGCTCAAACTTTCCACCAGTTTCCTGCGACTAACCCCTCCCCTTTTCAGTGGCCTGCAGCCCAAGCAAGCGCAAGACCACCTCCGCTTGCAACACAGGCTCAGGCATCTCATCCATTTTCTCCTTTTCCCTCTGGTGCTTATTTCAATCTTCCTTCTCAAGCCCCACAGGCCGACCTAAGCGTGAGGCTGCCTCCGCCGACAGTCGCAGCCCAGGCTTCTCTCCCTTACAGCTCTCTTCTAAATGCCAAATCACAATATTCTCTTTTCACAGCTTCCCCGATGCCAGTTCCACCAAACGCCGTCGCTCTGGAGCCTCCCCCGGTGACTCAAAACATCCGAGCACAGATTATGGCAGGTGCGGATGTAGATCTCTCACATTTACTTTCTCTTTTTCCCGTATCCGATTCCAACCGTCAGTTAGACTGCGGGGATTTTTCAGTCACTTTAAAAAATCAAAATACACATTCGTCACGTTTACTTTCTTTTCCAGAGTTTTCAATTGCTTTCAGCCACTACACAGACATCATTTGCTCAGCCTTCCCCCATAGACGACGCGAACTGAACGACTATTTAGCACTGATAGCCGAGCTCGCGTTGTCCTACGGGGGAGGGCACTTTTACACTTACCACAAACTCTTTTCAGCAAAATGCGCCGTTAGGGTTTCTCAGTGGAACCAATGCCCTTACTGGGGAGCACTAGACACTGACTTACACAGTAGAGTCTTCCTCGGCTGCAGGAATATTTCCTGCGCGGTCTGTAGGTCAGTGTCGCATCCCACGACATCGTGTCCCCAAGTTAACCCCTTCGTTTCTTCTGAAACAGCTCCAGTCAAATCCACTAGCTACACACCAAGACCGGCGACTAGCAACCTTCACGAGGCTAAATTCAGCTCCAGAGCACTCACAGACAACAAACAGCCTTGCAACAATTTTAACATTGGCAAATGCACCAGGCAGCGTTGTCGGTACTTGCACATATGCAGCTTTTGCGGCGGTGCTCATGCCCGTCCCGTATGCCCTGTATATAAAGATGTCAATAAAAAATCTAGAAATTATTTATCGACTCCTGTGAATATTTCTCGCCTTTCCATCGAACTAGCTCACCACCCGGACTCCGAATTCACCGAATATCTGCTGTCTGGCCTACTACACGGCTTTAAACCTGGAGTGGTTTGTCCGCTCTCCCAAAACATCATCTGCGATAATCTCCAATCGGCTCTCGCCGAGCCCGACGTGGTAGACAACCTGATTAAAAAAGAAGTCGAGTCAGGCTTTATGATCGGCCCTTTTGACGAGCCTCCTTTCAAAAATTTTCGCATTAGCCCCATTGGAGTGGCTACGAGAAAGTTTTCAGGTAAGAAACGCCTCATAGTCGATCTGTCAGCTCCACATAAGTCCATGTTCCCAAGCATTAACAGCCTGATCCCACTCAACGAATTTTCTCTCAAATACCACGACGTAGATCACGCAATCGACCTGATTAAAATCGTGGGTCGGGGTGCCTGGCTCGCTAAAATTGACATCACTTCAGCTTTTAAAGTGATGCCCATCCACCCGGATTCATGGCACTTATTCGGCGTGCGCTGGCATGAGAAATTTTATTTCGCCGTACGCTTAACTTTTGGATGCAAAAGCAGCCCCAAAATTTTCGACATGCTATCTGAAGCCGTTTGCTGGATCTTGTCAAACAATTACGCAATTCCTCACCTCATTCACCTGCTGGACGATTTTCTAATAATTTCGCCTCCTGGCGCCATTCCAGCAGCCCAGATCCTCACAGTTCAAAAAGTCTTTTCCGAGCTCGGAATCCCCATCGCCCAGGAAAAAACCATGGGTCCCGCTACATCCATCGAGTTCCTTGGCATTAATCTAGATTCAGTTCGATTCCAGGCCTCCCTGCCCAAGGAGAAAATTGATAGGATAATCCTCATCTCATCTACCCTCGCGGACAGTCCAGAGTGTTCCAAACGCGAACTCCTATCCATGCTCGGCCACTTAAACTTCGCCATGCGCATTATTCCACAAGGCCGCCCTTTTATTTCTCATCTCCTCTTTCTCGCGTCTTCAGTCCACGCACTAGAGGATCTAATTTCCATAACTCCGGCATGCCGCGACGAACTCGGGCTATGGATAACTTTCCTTAAACAGTGGAACGGCCTATCCTTTTTCTATAAGGATCTAATTTCCTCCCCCCTCGACATCCAGCTGTTCACAGATGCAGCCCCCTCTGTTGGCTTTGGAGGGTTCTACCAAGGTCGCTGGTTCGCGTCTACGTGGCCCCCCCAAATACAGGACACGCTTCAGTCCTCTGCATTATTCGAGCTCTACCCTCTCGTAGTAGCAGCCTTCCTGTGGGGGAAAGAATGGACTGCTAGCAGCATTGTAGTGCATTGTGACAACGAAGCTACAGTCCAGTGCATTAATAAAGGCCGTTCCCATGCACCCGCTCTAATGCCACTTTTAAGACGTCTAACCTGGATTTCCGCATGTGACCAATTTATCTTAATCGCAAAACACATCCTCGGGTCAAAAAACCAAATTGCTGACTCTCTGTCTCGCTTTATGTTTCAGAAATTCAGGATGCTGGCTCCAGAGGCGGACGAGCTCCCAACTCCAGTACCTCATTATTCGGAATTAATATTCCCATAACTCACCCGCAAAAATCCCTCCTCAACAGATCGCTCGACACCATTCTCCAAGCTGTTTCCCCCAGAACTCTCCAATCCTATGTGACCGCATGGAGATGTTTTAAAGCCTTCCACCTTTCTTATAACACGCCATTCCCTGATTTTTCCCTCCTTACAATAACCTCCTTTATCTCTTACCTCGACAGCGTCAAAAACCTCCAAGTCGGGTCCATCAAAAGTTATTTAAGCGGCATCCAATTTTTTCACAAATTGATCCACGGCGCCCCCTCTCCGGAAATAAATAATTCACAAACCTCCCTCTTGATTAAAGGCATCCAACGATCCCAGCCCACCCGCCCGGATACCAGACAACCCATAACTTTAGATATTCTCACTAAATGCATTCAGACCCTCCGCACAGGCTACCGATCCCTCAATACCTCCCGCACACTCGACGCCATGTTCATTCTAGCCTTTTTTGGTTTCCTAAGATGCTCTGAACTGGCTATCACTTCCAGATTTGACCCAAAAATCCACCCAAACATCTCAGATCTCTCAGTGCTCGACAACGAAACAATCTTGTTTCTGATTAAACAGAGCAAAACAGACCAAACCAAAAAAAAGGCCACTTCATATATATTTTCAACCTCTCGTCACCAATTCAACCGTTCCAAACTATATTAGCCTACCTCCAACTGAGAAACTCTCATGCAAAATCCCCTCTCGAACCCTTGTTCATCGACGATTCTAACAAACCCGTGACACGCTTTTGGTTCCAAAAACACCTAAAATCTGTTCTCCAACTTTCAGGCATCCCAGCAGAGAATTTCTCCAGTCATTCCTTCCGCATTGGAGCAGCAACCTCAGCAGCCCAAAAAGGCCTCTCTCAGCAACAGATCCAAGCGCTCGGAAGATGGTCCTCAGACGCGTTCCAAACTTATATCAGAACTAATCGTTTCCATGTCAAAAAAGCCCACCAAATCCTCATTGGTTAAAAAAAAAAAAAAAAAAAAAAAAAAAAAAAAAAAATTTCGAGTATCCATTCCATGCCTTCTCGTTCTTCATCCGGCAAATATTGATCTCCCAGCGGACATAGCGAGAGCCTTCCTGGTCGAGCTTCTATGTCTTCTCTGTCTCCGTCCAGCAAGTATTAATCTCCCAGCGGACCCAGAGACAGCCTTCCCAGTCGAGTAATTATATATCTCCTCTTTCTCCGTCCAGCGAGTATTGATCTAGCGGACACAGCAAGAGCTTTCCTGGTCGATTATTTATGTCTATTATTTCTCCGTCCAGCGAGTATTGATCTCCCAGCGGACACAGTGAGAGCTTCCCGGTCAATTATTTATATCTATTCTTTCTCCGTCCAGCGAGTATTGATCTCCCAGCGGACCCAGAGACAGCCTTCCCGATCGAGTATTTGTATCTCCTCTTTCTCCGTCCAGCGAGTATTGATCTCCCAGCGGACCCAGAGATAGCCTTCCTGGTCGGTACGCATATCTCCCCTTTCTCCGTCCAGCGAGTATTGATCTCCCAGCGGACTCAGAGAGAGCTCCCTGGTCGAGCATCTTCATCTCCTCCTCCATCCAGCGAGTATTGATCTCCCAGCGGACTCAGCAAGAGCTCCCTTGGTCGAGCATCTTCATCTCCTCCTCCATCCAGCGAGTATTGATCTCCCAGCGGACTCAGCGAGAGCTCCCTTGGTCGAGCATCTTCATCTCCTCCTCCATCCAGCGAGTATTGATCTCCCAGCGGACTCAGCGAGAGCTCCCTTGGTCGAGCATCTTCATCTCCTCCTCCATCCAGCGAGTATTGACCTCCCAGTGGACATAGCCTAACCCTCCCAGTAAAGCATCTATGTTTTTCTTTCAGGACTGGTGAGGCTTACCGATGCCGGGACCTTTGCCACAAGAACCCTCCCGTTCGGACACCGCGAGCTCTCCCAGCCAAAACTACCAGGCTCTCCTTGAAATGCCAGCCCGCCAATCTCTGCGCTCTTTTCGGGGGGTCTTTAAGCAGGCGGCTGTCCTTTACTTACTTTGCTTTTTGGGGAGTACTCTGGGTTCGGGCCCAATTTCCGAGCTCGGAGCCCTCCCCCCGGACAGCACGCCAAATACGCATAACTATTTTTATTCTCTGATCATTAGTGAGTGTGAACTCGTGAATCGATGTTTTATTAACAAGTTTCGGGAGGATCACGTTCTAATGATCAAACAATCAAGTCAGCCAGCTGTCAGCAATCAGTAATCAACTGGTTCACTCAATCAGCACAAGTAAAGCCTATAAAAACACACAGTTGACTCACCCTTATTTCTCGACTGTTCTCAGCATCCCTCCACCACCCCATCTCCTCACACTTGCCTAATTATCTTCCTAAACAGAGATACGGGGGGAGTACTCTGGGTTCGGGCCCAATTTCCGAGCTCGGAGCCCTCCCCCCGGACAGCACGCCAAATACGCATAACTATTTTTATTCTCTGATCATTAGTGAGTGTGAACTCGTGAAACGCTGCGGAGCGCTGTCAGTTCTTCCTAAACCCAAACGTGCCGTCAGAATCAGCACGATCGGCGTTTGTTGCAAAATGCTGTCTCTACTGTTGCTAGATCACATGTGAGACGCTGTTCACAAGGCGATGCGCGATCCGAAACGGACTGCAACGAGACAAGAAGAGTATAGCCTACTTTGGGCTTCGTGTGTCCTAAACTATCAAATATACATAAAAATGCCGAAATGACCAGCTCTGAGATTCACATAAACACAATTATGTCTTAAATGGACGTAAATAATAGGGAGAAAATGATGGTGCTTCAGTTACCGATTAGATTTGCTCTCGGTCTTTAAGGGCCAGCAGTCTAATTAACCTGCTGATGATTCAGCCATTAATGCAAATCAAACAACAAAAGGCAGAGAAAATCACTCACAGCACTTGAATGAGTAACTTTAGATTTAATAAGCATTAATCTATCTATGATCAACTATACAGTGCTATTTTACATTTGATTACTAAATTAGATTTATTTTCAGACAGAAAATATTACCTAAAAAGTAATGTTAGTAGACCTTCCTGAAATTAAAGCACTGTGTATATAATTTGTATCTTTGATTAATTGTATTCTTGTGTTTGTACTTTTGTCCTATCTTTTGTATATAAAACAATAATAGCCTGCACACTGCTGCATAACAAATAGATTTTTTTCTTCATTTTGTTAAAGCATTACTTTTTTACATTTTTTTTTACATTTCAAAATATAAAGTTAATTATGTTCTTAATTCTTAAAAAAAAAAAAAAAAAAAAAAAAACAACAAAAAAAAACCCCGATAAGAATAACGTTAGTATCGGTAAGAGTAGTAATACCGATAAAATCTTAACGATACCCATCCCTAGTTCTGCAGCTCAATAGGCAATATAGTCCAGCGCGGCGGTAGCTACACATATCCATGTAAAAATTAAATAAGAAAACATCTCTATTGCAAATGCAAACCCCTCCATCAGTGTCAATTTCAGTGCCGTATTGCCCGAGAGCTGCATGGACTCACAGTCACAAATAGTCACAAACAATCTGAACAGTTGCGATAAAATCCCGGACGAGCCCCCATATGTCACGTCTACCTAGCTCACAGTAGCAGTGACATAAGGGAACACCACACCGTTTGTAAAGTTAAATCAAAAAATAGTTTATTTAAACATTAAATGATGGAATGAAATCATAATTCAAATCAAGAAATGCATTAAGTCAGTGTATGAGAAGCAAGAGAAAACTAATCAAAATGTAGTGCAGATCAGTAAAGTGTAAACTACAAACCCAATTCCATAAAAGTTGGGACACTGTACAAATTGTGAATAAAAACAGAATGCAATGATGTGGAAGTTTCAAATTTCAATATTATATTTAGAATACAACATAGATGACATATCAAATGTTTAAACTGAGAAAATGCATAATTTTAAGGGAAAAATAAGTTGATTTTAAATTTCATGGCATCAACACATCTCAAAAAAGTTGGGACAAGGCCATTTTTACCACTGTGTGGCATCCCCTCTTCTTTTAATAACAGTCTGCAAACGTCTGGGGACTGAGGAGACAAGTTGCTCAAGTTTAGGAATAGGAATGTTGTCCCATTCTTATCTAATAAAGGCTTCTAGCTGCTCAACTGTCTTAGGTCTTCTTTGTTGCATCTTCCTCTTTATGATGCGCCAAATGTTTTCTATGGGTGAAAGATCTGGACTGCAGGCTGGCCATTTCAGTACCCGGATCCTTCTTCTACGCAGCCATGATGTTGTAATTGATGCAGTATGTGGTTTGGCATTGTCTTGTTGGAAAAAACAAGGTCTTCCCTGAAAGAGACGATGTCTGGATGGGAGCATATGTTGTTCTAGAACTTGGATATAGACGGTTTCATCAGACGCGTTGCCATGGTGATGAGCTGGCCCAAAGTTAACTTCCGTTCTGTTCGTTTATTAGTGTTTACTGGATAATATGGCATTGACTACAAATGCAGTGAAATTTAAGGTGATGAGCAGGTTATTGAGCTGTGGGGTGCAACCTGACCTAGGGAGCAAATGCAATTTTTAAAAATAAAAATGTCAAGGTTTCCTATGAGGGAGACGGCGGTATTAAAATAGCCTATGTTTATCTGAGTGATAACCGGTACAGTGTTTCCCATACATTTATTAGTGGCAGCCCACCACATTCTCAGCGCTGACCGCCACATATTGATTTCCGTGTTTTTAACAATTTAAGATGGGAAAAGTTGTAATTGACTGCAGAGTTGCGTGCAGCGCATATTCGGACGCTCTCTCTCTCTCTCTCTCTCTCTCTCTCTCTCTCTCGCAAACACTTGACAGCGGACCAGTCTGTGTATTGAATGGTTAGTATCATAGACAGCGCTGCACAGATCCATCCAACATGCTGTCAATGTGGAGACCCAATAAGGTTAGCAAGCATGTAAGTAGCCTAGCTATGTTAACCTTATCAAACTCCGCCGTCGCGCTCGCCACAGTTTTTTTAACACTGCGGTAAATCAGACACGTCGGTAGAAAAACATCTTGTCTCCAATTTTTGTTCAACGGGTCTGGTAGTGTCACATTTCAGTTTGGCCAGGTAACATTTATTTTCTTT